TGTTGGAATCGCAGGTTTTATAGGAGATTTTTTAAAATTATGGTTTGTGATTATTTTCTTTAACCTTTAATTTTTCTAGAAAATTGGGGGCAAAGTAAAATTTGAGGATTCCTTTTATTAAAGAACAACAATAAAAAGCATTTTTCTTTATTTCCCAATGGATTTACAATGGGTATGTATTCCTTCTATAATCAGAATAAAGTATTTCACAAAAAGAATCTGTTCTTGCCTAAAATCTAAATTATCGATACCCATGACTGACTTCGCACTTATCTTAGCTTCCAAATCTAGATGATAATGTCTTCCCACTGCAATTCTCTGACAAAGTATTTGAAGTTAATGTTTCAAGAAACCACAAAATTTCCCATCTACAGTATAAATCTTCTGAAGAAAAAATAACACTGTGGGTTATCAGTATAATTCAGACATCAGTATGTTTAAGATCATGTCTTGGAAGAAACATATACATTTGGCTTTTATTACTGTGCTTAAGAACTATTATTGCCATCACTACCATGAATGGAAATATATAATAATATTCAATACACAAATAAACCCAATGCAAAAAGAATGAGCATTAATTATTGAGTGGATTAGTTATATTTTACATCCACAATTAAAAATTCACACTACCTGCAAGTCAAGAGTATTATAACCGATTTGTCACAAAAGCTGTTTGCAGTTAATCCTTTATGAGCCTTGTACAACCTATTTAAAAATAAACATGAAGCCGTATCTTATCAATGCATTACACATTTAGCAAATGTGTAAAATAGGTATAAAAAGGATTTATGAGATGATTAAGGAGGGTATTAGCGGAGTTTTAAAAAACAAAAACTACTGGAGCAGAAAGATAATAGTAATATTAAGAAAACAAAATTCCATAAATAACTAAAACACAAAGTAGGGAAGAAAATGCCCTAAGAGAATTTTGTAAGGAGAGAAATAATACATTTAAAGGATGATTGGAATCAGTTCCCCGGAGAAGGGCATGTTTGAAAAAGACCTTGAATGACAGACACCTCAACAGGAAGAGAAAGAGAGAAAAACCACCAAGAGCAAAGGCCACAGTGGAGGAGCAAGTAGAACATGTTGGAAGATGAGAGTTATGCATTTTAGGTGGAGAACTGGGTGAATGTGGGTGAGGTCTAAGACGTTAAAGTGAGGCCTTTTGAATCAATGTGAAGTTCAGAAAAAGAAGCTTGTTTTTAAATCATTAAATTTGGGGCATTAGACTATTCATGTCATTCATTCATTCAGTGCCATGTACTGAGCATCTACTATGTCCTGAGCATTGGGATCGTTTATTGACGGTGCAAAAGCAAGTCAAAGGAGGCATCATCTCTGCCCTGATGATGCTTACAGTCTAGTGAAGGATCCACACGCTAACTAAACCATCCAACGATGTAAAAGTTTCTTAGTTTATTGACAGAAACTAAGAAACTGAGTGATTATGAAGAGTTTTCCAAAGTTATGTTGCTCAGAGAAATCCTCCCTGAGAAAGCGGCACTAGACATGGCATTGGGATGATGAAGCAAAGAAGCAAACGCATTCCAGGTGGAGGGAGAAGAACAAAGACCCAAATGCAAAGGGCTCCTGTGCCTGAGTAGACAAAGGGAGAGGGCACTTAGAATGAAACAAAGCTAGAAAGGTAGCACAAGCCCAGATCACCCTAAAAAGAGCTCCAAATGGTTTTCATTTTATTGATGGGAGAATTGAGACCCAGAGAAGCAGGGAGGCAGTGGGAGGAACTTGCCCAACATGAGACAGTGTTTATCATCTAAGTAGCAAAAAAAAACCTCAAGTTCAAGTTCAAGCTTTGTACTAAGATGATGAATAGATTCAGGAGCAGTGTGTGGGATACACAAAGGAGGGACAGATACAGGATTGGGAGGCTGGTGATAAGGACAGTGCGAAAATCCAAGCGAGAAGTGATAATGCCCAGAGCCCTTAAACTTTACTATTAATAACATATACTCATCTTCAAAATCAATGATATATTATTATTTTGAACTCTATGATAGAAAAAGATTTAAAACACCCCCACAAATAGCTCTTTCACATTAGAAGTGTAAATTGGCACAACTTCTCTCGGAGATGGTATTTATATTTTTTAAGAAGGGATATATCTTTGTCTTAGGAATTTCCTTTCTAGGAATTTGTGAGTACTTAAGAGATAAATGTATAAAACCTGATACTTGCATATAATTCTATACCTGTATTATAGTAATATTATATATTCATAGATTGTATAATGCATCATAGATTAACATTACATATTTGTATATTTTATATTGTACACAGATTTGTGGAAAAGGAAGTTTACTGCAGCATTATTTGTAGTTGTAATAGTCTGTAATTAAACTGAAATGTCAATTAATAATAGGTAAATTACAGTACACGTGTAAAATGAAGTTCTGCATGGCTGTTAAAAAGACTGACTATATGTATAGGTTCTGATATTCAGTGACCTTTATGACAAAATGGTAAGCAAAGATAACCAAGGTGCAGAACAGGGTGCACACATAGGATGCTACCCCTGGTATAAAAACAAGGAGCACATCCCTGTAGCACATATAGAGACATCTCTAGTAATTACTCATCACACCTGGAGGAGAACTCGTTAGCTAAGGGACAGGATGGAACTTTTTTTTTCCCTAGATCTTTTTAGAGGTTTATTGATTGATTGATTTTTATTTTTTAATCAGGTATGATTACTGTTTGTTCAGAAAAGATACAAATAAAGATTCTGGACCAAGTTGGTAGTAGTCAGAAAAGAAAGCAGGGGGCATTTATGTTCTAAAAACGTATCAAAGGTTGGCTCTCTATAGCTTGGCCAAGGATGCAAGGGACTAGGAAAAAAGGAAAGTCAAAATTACAAGCAGATCTTTCAGTCCGAGGAGGATCAAGGTAAGGAAGGAAAAAGGAAGAACAAAATGGATTAGAGAATATAGAGGCATGACAAGTTTTCTTTTGAACATACTAAGTTTAAGGCGCTAGCAATAAAGCCAGAATTATAAGAATTTTTTCTTTTACATTAAGAGAACAATTCTTTGAATAAAAGTCTGTTATATTTGGATATGTTTTAATAAAACACCTTCAAAAAGTGTAGTTTGTTTTTTCTCTTTTTCCAAATAATTTAATACAATTATTTGCTAAGAGGGGAAATACATGACAACAACATGCTGCTACTGTCATGGTTCACTATAACTAGGTGTGTTGGGGCAGAAGGCAAGTACAGACTTTGCCACTACGTAGTTACAGCTGTGATCCTATGCTATCGTTCCCCCTTTCTCTGCCAGCAGCCTGATCTTTCCGGCTCCTAAAGTTGCAACGTGCACATTAACAAATTTCACCAGTCATCCTTACTTTATATCCTCATCGTTGGCAAAAATCACGACGGCCCTGGAGTTGGGGGTGTCCAGGAGCTGTTTGATAATTCTATCAAAGTCAATGGTCCTGTCTTTGCGCTCTTGGGGGATTCTCACGGACTGGGCAATGCAGAGCCCACCTGTTTGAGAAAAGAAAGCAGAGTGTCAATAAAGTTCCCACAGAGATATCCAAGGAGCCAGGGCAGGGAGTTGGGGAGGAGGGAATTTTGGGTGCTGAGTGCACCGCACTTCCTTGAAGCTGCTGCAGAGTGGGGAAGGCATGACAGGTCGTGTGGAGCCCTGTGTTGATGCTCGGACCTAGTACGTGTCACCCGGTATGGCACAACTCCTTTCTCTTTATAATGCACTTCTAAATGTCTGGTCATGCTCAGGAATACAAAGATATTAACTCTGAGGAGGTAGGTTTAGGTTGGCAGACAAAGTGGGTGTGTTGAAGGGGGTCTTTTAAAAGAATGCAATATGCTAGACTAACACTACAATAAGTAAACTACAATAAAGGAACTGGAACAAGTAAAGCTCATGTTTATCTCTGTGACTTTTCTGGTGTTTGCCTTCCCAGAGTTTTTATTTTTTCTCCTTTCATACTCATCTCGACTTTTAAAGCTCTGCTCCAGTGGAGTAAAATAAAGAAAACAATTACTACACATCATAGTAACAAACTTACTGACTGTATACTATATGCTCAAGACATCATTAAGTGTTTTATGGGTGTTATCTCATTTCGTCCTCATTAAAACTTTATAAGGTACTTAGTGTTACCTATTTAAGATTAGGGAAAGGGAGGATTGAATAGAAAAATAGATTTGTTTACTCCAGACTTATCAAAGCCATTATGATATTAATTGACTTTATGAATTTCAAGAGGGAGAAACATGCAATTTACTAAGTAATGGGTCCAATGGGTTCTGACTTCCCCACTTCTTGCCTAGTAGTTGCTCCTGGGTCTAGTATTTTACAAAACACACTTAGAGAAAGGCCAGTATAGATGAAAAGGGTAGAGAGAATACTTGCAGGAAAGAGCCTAAAAGTTATCCAAGGGTGGAAGACTTAGGGCAGAGACAAGTGGAAAGCCTTGCTCTATTTGTAATGTGTTTGGGAGGTACCCATAGCCAATAAGCTTACACTAGAACATAGAGAACTGGGCGGATGCTACTAGGCTTCCACAAACAGAAAAATATAAACTCTAATACAAAATTGATCCTTCATTACACTTTAATTCCAATTAGTGTCAGCTCTCTGTAAGTGGCTCTCAATTGTCAGTGTGCATAAAATCACCTGGGCTCCTTCAAAATACAGATGTCTAACAACACTACCAACCAACTTGACCTAATTGGCATTTATACAACAATCACAGAACAACAGAAGAGCACATGCTCTTTTCAAGTGCAAATGGAACATTTGTTAAATTAGAATGTATTTGGGGCCATAAAAGAATAGCAAATTTAAAAGCACAGAAATCATACGAAGTATGTTCTCAGACCATAACAGAATGAAGATAAAAATCAATAACAGAAAGATAACAGGAAAATATCCAAACAGTTGGAAATTAAACAACACACTACTGAATGACCCATGGGTCAAAGAGCAAGTGTCAAGGTAAATATAAAAATATTTTGAACTATTTTAAATGAAGCTACATATCAAAATTTACAGGTTACAGCTAAAAGAGTATTTAGATGAAAGTCACAATATTATATGCCTTTATTAGAAAAGAACAAACATCTAAAAAGAAGAAACCTAAACTTT